TCCCAGAGAGAGTGACCAACCCCACAATTACCATTCCCAGAGTGACCAACCCCAAAGTTACCAATCACAGAGAGTGACCATACCCAGAGTTACCATTCCCAGAGAGTGACGATCCCCAGAGTTAGCAGTCCCACAGACAGTGACCAAACATTAGAGTTACCATTCCCAGAGAGAGTGACCAACCCCAAAGTTCCCATTCTTAGAGAGTCACCAACCCCAGAAAGTGTAACCAACCCCAGAGCAACCATTCCCTGAGAAAGTGACCATCAGCAAAGAAACCATCCCCAGATAATGACAATCAGCAGTGACCATCAGCCAAGAGAGTGACCATCAGCAGTGACCATCCCTAGCAAGAGAGTGACCAACCCAGGAGAGAGTGACCATCAGCAGAGTGACCAACCCTAAACCGAGTGACTAACCCTAAAGAGACAGTCCAGCCCCTGCAAGAGTGACGAGCCCCATAGAAAGAGAATGACCACCAGCTGATTGACCATTACCAGAGTGTGACCATTTGTAGAGTGAACGTCCTCAGAGCAAGTGACCAACCTGAGTGACCATCCCCAGTGAGGGAGACCATTCCCAGAGTGACCAACCCTAGGGAGAGTGACCATCCCCAAAGAGAGCAACCAATCCCAGACAGAGTGATCATCCTTCGAGAGAGTGAGAATGGCGATACCCAGAGTGACCATCTCCAGAGTGACAGTGATCGCACCCCAGAGACCATTCTCTGAGATACCATTCCACAGACTTTACATCCCCAGTAACCAATTTCAGAGAGTGACAACACTACAGACCATCCTTAGAGATTTCATCTCACAGAGTGACTAACCCAGACAGTGACCACACCTGCAATGACTACACCAAAACTATCCCTAGAGATACCATTCTACACAGAGATGATTCCCAGACAGTGACCAACCTAACAGAGTGACCATGCAGGAGTGACCATACCCAGAGAGTGATCACTCCATAGTGTCCATCCTGAGGTTGACCATCCCAGTGAGTGATCAGACCCAGAGTGACCACCCCCAGAATACCATTCCATAAATTGACTATCCCCAATGATCATCTGTAGAGAATTACCAAACCCACAGAGTGACCATTCTCAGAGGCGACGTCCCAAGAGTGACTAACCCACAGTCATCATCATCAGAGTATGACCACCCCCAAAGCGTGACCAACGCCATAGAGTGAGAACTCAACAGTGACCATCCAGAGAGTAACCATCCCCAGATTGTGACCATCCCCAGTGTGAGTGACTGCTGCCTTAGAATGACCAACCATGACAGTGACTATCCCCACAGAGTGACTATCCACACAGTAAACACCCCTAAAGACTGATCATCACCAGGGAGTGACCAATGCAACAGTGACCATGCAAAGTGACCACCCTCAGCTTGTCCATCCTGAGGATGAACATCCCTCGTGAGTGACCACTCCCAGAGTGACCATCCTCAGATGTGACAATCCCCATAGGGAATAACCACCCCTAGAGGGAGTGACCACCCATGACAGTGAACTTTTCACAGTGACCATGAGAGTGATCAGCCATGGAGAATGACTATCACAATAGCATGACCACACCTACAGAGTGGCCACCACTGTAGACTGACTACCCCAGTGACCAACCCTAGAGACTGACCACACTGAATGACCATCCCCTAGAGTGACCAGCCCCTGGAGAGTGACCACCCAGAGAGTGACCTTAGGGAGTGAACATCCCAAGGGAGTGAGCATCCCCAGAAAGAATCCATCAGAAAATGACCACCTGCAGACACTGACCAGCCCAGAGCGACCACCTGTATGATCAGCCTCAGTGACCACACCCAGAATAACCAGAGTGACCAATTCCAAAGTGACCATGAGAATGACCATTCACTCAGTGACCAACACAGAGTGAGCATCCCAGAATGATCAGATAGTGACCAGTGACCATCTACAGAGAGCGACCGCCAGAAAGTTGCCATCCCCAATGAGAGGTAATTAGACAGTGAGCATGAGTGACCAGCCCCACAGTTTTCTTAACCAATAGTGACCACCAGAAGGTGAACAGCCCAATACAGTGATAATAGAGAGTGACTACGCCAACAGAGTGAGCAACAGACAGTGAATATCGAGAATGACCACTTCCAGAGAAGGATGTCTGGAGTGTGACATTCCCCAGAGACCACTGGGAGACACCAAACGCACAGAGCAATCACCGGCAGAGTGACCTCAAACCAGGGAATCCAATTGTTACAAATCAAAGCAGAAAATCCAATATCTATCCCTCAAACCCCAAAACTCAATCCTGACACCTCAAACCCCAAAACCAATCCTGACACCTTAAACCCCAAAACCCAAACCCGACAGCTCAAAATGGAAAACCCAATCCCAAACCCCAAAACTCAATCCTGAGAGCTCAAATCGGACAACCCAATCCTGACACCTGATTCAAGAAAACTCAATCCCCAACTTCCACAACCTGCTTCTTTCTGGACCTGACTCCCTCTGGATCTGACCAATGCCATAGTGTACCCTTTTGTACCTGACCTGAACACCGGAATAGACCCAACCTTCTGAATGAAAGTTTCAAGATCTGACCAGCGTGACCTTAGTTATGCTCTGACCCTCACCGACCTCCCCTAATCCCTCTGCCTCATTCAAACCTTTTACTCCAGATTCAACGCCCTGAGCTAACCCTCTGGATCTGATTCTCTGAGCCAACACTCTTGACCGGTAATGCCAGAACTGACTCCTCTCCCCTCCCCGGACCCAGCCCTCTGTACACGCCAGTTCCTCGGACCTGACACAGGGCAGCACGGTGACTCAGTGGTTAGCGCTGCTGCCTCACAGCACCAGGGACCCCGGTTTGATTCCACCCTCGGGGGCCTGTCTGTGTGGAGTTTGCACATTCTCTCCGTGTCTGTGTGGGTTTCCTCCAGGTGCTCCGGTTTCTTCCCACAGTCCAAAGATGTGCTGAGCAGGTGGATTAGCCATGCTAAATTGCCCGTAGTGTTCAGGGACGTGTAGGTTAGGTGGGTTATAGGGGAATGGGTCTGGGTGGGATGCTCTGAGGGTCGGTGTGGACTTGTTGGGCCTAGGGGCTGTAGGGATTCTATCTATGACATCCAAATCCAACTCTCCCATACTACACTTTGCAGAATTAATGCCCCAAACACACAACCCCAAACTGAGTCCAATACAGTAATAAAAGCTGGTGCCAGATCCAAGACCAAAATTTCATCCTGATACCCATCAGAGATTTGAAAATAGGTCACGACTGTCTATACATCAACAACCAACTACTGCTGCAAACACTCCTCTTGACATGCTCACTGAGGCAAGACACAGAATCCAATTTGTCAAATGTAGTTTTGGTTTTACTGAAAATAGCTGCCCAGGGGCCACAGATGTGATGCTTCCAAGGCAGTTGCCAATCCATTCTGTCGACAGTTACATAGCTTTGACTCCAGTTTGCTGTTTCTTGGTGAGGTTCAGTCCAAGTTTAAGGCCATCTTTCTGGTGGTTCAGTTGGTTCCAAACACATGCACTGCACAATTGAATGAGTTGGAGGGAGTTCTTTTCCCAAATCCTCGACAGTCTTTGAAATGGAGTCTTCTTTCATGTGGTTCCAGATAATGGCCGCGCCCACGTTCCCTACTTCCCCCATGCACTCCCTTTTCCTCTGCTGTCTTTTATCCCCTCGAATCCACCGCAGTGGTGTTCATTGTGTTACGATCATGCTGCAGTCCACAAATCTCCACTGTGGCATTCCACTCCACCATCACGAACTGATTGGCAAATAGCACTCAGCTTCAATCAAGTTCTGAAGGAAAAGAAAAAGGCAGCGTGGATTTGAAAGTGAACTCAGTGAATGGATAATGCTCGAGGAATTAAAACGATCCATCCCTCCTCACGCCTCCCTCCACTGCTTTATCCCACACTGATACCTGGCTTTTCAGTCAGTAATCCCTGAAACCCTTGACAGTCAGTGTGATCCCATCTGAATGAAGAATAGTCATTGATATCTGTCCTTTCATACTCAGTACATCTAGAAACCCTTGACAGTCAGTGTGATCCCATTTGAATGAAGAATAGTCATTGATATCTGGCTTTTCATGCACTCTGATTACACCTGTGAACCCTGTGCAATTCTCTGTCCCAGGGCATGCGTCCTGGTCTTAGTGGAGCATGAAGACAGGAAGTGTGATAGATAAACGTGACACCCTACAACAGGTTGGGGTTAAAGTAGACAAGTTGGAGTAGCTTTGATCTGAGAAAGGGTGTTGGGGTGTGGGTGATCACCGGCCGATTAGCACAGGATCCTATCTGGAAAAATGAAAGGGTCACTGCACTCCTGCCTCCCAGTGCCCCAAAAAGTCTGAAGTGTAGGCTTGAATGTGATTACCTATCCTCCTTGAACTTGTGTGTGTTGCTCCTACGGTGCTCGAAGTAGGGTACTGTGCCTGTGGCGGATTAAACCAAGCTGTGGATGGAAAATAGTAACAGTCAGTGATCCAGGATTCACGATCAAAACCTCAAGCCACAGACGGTATCTGAAGATTACTCTCACACACATATACAGAACCATTCAGTCACCACGTGCACAAATGCACACATGCTCTATCCCAAAGAGAATCTGTTATCTTTATGGTGAGTGATTGTGACAGGAACTGAGAGTGGAGGGAGAGAAACAGGAATTGACTGCAACTGTATTTATTTGTGTATGCAGAACTGCACCTTCATGTCTTCTGTATTTTTGTATGTGTTGGAATATGTGATCATAAGTGAGTGTCAATGTGTATTTGAGCATGCGCATTATGTGCATGAGTGTATCCGTGTGCAAGTGTATGCTTGTGTATGTTAGTGTATCTCCATGTGCAGTTAAGTTTGAAAGTGTGTGTCTCAATGTGCAGTTGTCAGTGTGTACGTGTGTACCTCCATGTCTGTGTATGGGTCTGTTTCTCCATGTGTATGTGTGAGTGTGTACGTGTGTGTCTCCATGTCTATGTATAGGTCTGTTTCTCCATGTATATGTGTATGTATATATGTGTGTATGTATGTGTGTCTCTGTGCCTGTGTGTGGGTCTGTTTCTCCTTGTGTTTATGTATGCGTGCATCTCCTTGTCCTTCACACACTTTGTGCCAATTCATTCTCTTCCATTTACCAACCATGGCAAATTATGTCCCCTTTGTCAAGCTAGTATTATCACCCTAAAACATAAACTTTCCTGAATAGGCCTTCCTATCCCCTAAATTAACAAAATCAAATTTATATAAGCAGCTGCCTCCATGAGACATGCATGCATGAAATGTTAGGCGACATGTTTGGGACTGAGATTTCTGGTACTGTATGCAGCCACCTCCACTGTTTTTGCCATGAAGGCAAGATATTCTATTGTAGCAAAATACCATAATAATGTCTCCCTGTTTGCGTGTGTGTTTGCGTTGTTGTGTATCACAGAAAGAAACACAGAACTGAGAAGTGGGTACATCTGGAGAGAAGAATGAGAAAATTCAGACACATGAACAGCGAGGAGGATGTAATTCCAGGGAGTAAAGGAGGTACGTTTAGAGACAGGAGTGGGGGAATACAGAGAGAGAGAGAGAGAGAGAGAGAGAGATAAAGCCAGAAAACAGGAGGGGGAAGTCTAGCATTAAGTGAGGGAAAACACAAAGAGTGGTTTAAATCCCATGATATGAGGAAGAAGGTAATTCCAGAGTGAGGAGGGGAAGAATGCAGAAGGGAGTAGGGATAAATTCAAAGTGAGTAGGGGTTAAATCTAGAGAGGAAAGGGTAAATCCAAAGTCAAAGAGAAAAATAGGAGACAGAAAAAGAGGACTGCTCAAAAATGCAGTGCACAAAGATCCATGGTACTTACCTCGTCTGCGTCGCAGAAACCACCTTACATCCCTGCACCAGAAGAAACAGGCACAAAGGAACAATACAAAGCTGCAGAAAAGGCTGAAGATACTAAGGACAACAATTGCCCAGATCGGCAATGTAAAACGGTCATTCCCTACAACAAACAATGAGAAAGATTCAGTATATTGCACAGAATTCAGTCCTGACCAATCATTGAGTAAAGCTCCATCTACTCAAACTGAATTTAAAGCTCCCGCCACACTAGTGCCAACAAATACTCCCAGGACAGGTACAGCATATGGTGAGATACAGAGCAAAGCTCTCTCTACTCTTTTAAACTGTAAGTAAAGCTGCCTCTACTCTTTTAAATGAAAAGTAAACTGGAAGTAAAGATCTCTCTACTCTTTTAAATGGAAAGGAATGTTACCTCTACACTGGCACCATTAAATACTGCCATAACAGCGACAGCATGAACCTAGTAAAATTTTCTCTACCTTTATAAACTGAAAGTAAAGCTTTCTCTACTCTTCTAAAATGAAAGTAAAGGTTCCATTGAGTTGTGCCTCTTAATCACTCACAGGACAGGTACAGTACGATACAGTACAAAGCTGCCTCTACACTGTCCCCATCAAACAGCTAATAGCAGAACGGAACAAGGTGAGATATAAAGTTCCCGCTACTCTTTTAAATTGAAAGTAAAGCTCTCTCTACACTGGCCCCATTGAGCACTCCCAGAACAGGGATGGTGTGGGGTTATTTAGAGAGTAAAGCTACCTTTATTCTTTGAATTTAAACCTCCTTCCATACTGCCCTATTTCAAACATTCCTAGGATAGGTACAACAAGGGATAAATACAGAATAAAGGTCCTGCCGCCCCATCCTCATTAAACACTCCCAGGATGGGTACAGCACGAGATTAGTTACAGAGTAAAGCTTCCTCTACCTTTATAAACTGAAAGTAAAGCTTCTCCACTCATTTAAACAGAATTTAAAACTCCCTCAACACTGTCACTATCAAAAACTCCCAGGGCAGATACCGCGTGGGATTAAACACAGAGTAAAGCTCCCTGTACACTGACTCCAACAAACACTCACAATGCAGGTTTAGCACACAGTTTAGATACAGAAGAAAGCACACTGTACCCTTTTAAACTGAAAATAAAACTCCATTCACTCCTTCACAATGAAACTAAAACCCTCTAGATTCTGTCCACATTGAACACTCCCAGGACAGGGATATCATGGGGTTAATACACAGTAAAGCTCCCTTTATTCTTTTAAACTGAAAGTAAAGTTCTTTTTAACACCATCCCCACCAAATGATCCCTGGCCAGGTTAGATACAAAGCAAGCTCCCTCTACAATGTCCCAAACAAACATTCTCAGGACAGGTATAGTATGGGATTAAATATAGAGTGAAGCTTCCTCTACACTGTCCCCATCAAACACTCCCAGGACAGGGACAGCACAGGGTTAGAAACTCAGTAATGTTTCCTCTACTCTTTTAAACTGAAACGAAAACACTGAGCATATTAAACCCTCCCAGGTCATGTGCTGCACAGGTTTACATATAAAGGAAAGTTCGCTCTACACTGCCCTCAACAAACACTTCCACGGTCATACGGCACAAGGTTAGATATAAAGTTCCCTAAACTCTCTTAAACTGGAAGTAAAGTTCTCTCTATGCTGACCCCAATGAACGCTCCCAGAATAGGGACAACGTGGGATTAGAACTTCATTGACTCTTATGAACAGAAAGTAAAACTCTTTTTACTCTTTTTAACTGAATTTAAAGCTCCATCTACACTGGCCCCATCAAAAAATCCCTGGACAGGTATAGCAAGAGATTAAATATATAGTAATGCCTCCTCTACACTGTCCCCATTAAACACTCTCAGGACATGGCAGCATGGGATTAGATAGAGTAAAACCTCCTCTACTCTTCTGAAGTAAAGGTAAACTGAAAGTCAAGATTCTTCTGTGCAAACTGGAAGAATAGCACCTCATTTTCTGCTTGGAAACCCTGAAACCCTCAGGCCTCAATGTAGAGTTCAATAATTTTAGGGTCTGAGCACCTTCACTCATGTCCTTACCCCAATGCCTACACACCAGGCCTTGTCATCACACGGGCTGCTACCACAAACAACTCAGCCACTTATGGTCCTCATTGTCAGCTACTGATACTTCCAGGCTGACCTTTACCAATTCCTTTGACTACCCAACTGTTTTTCTCTCTCTCTCTGGCCTGCAATTTCATCCATCATTTACTTCTTCCCCCACTCCCCGCTCCTTCTTCAGCATATATGTTAACGCTTTCACAGCTACAATCAATTCTGAACAACAGTCACCGGACCCAAATGTTAACTTCTGCTTTCTCTCCACAGATGCTGCCAGACCTGCTAAACTTTTCTAGCAATTTCTGTTTTTTGTTCCTTTAACACCACCACCACCAAACACCCTGGGCAATGTACAGCGTGGGTTTAGATACAGAATAAATCCCTCAACAATGTCCCAAACAATCATTCGCAGAACAGGTACAGCACATGGTGAGATACACAGTAAAGCTCTCTCTACACTTTCTCCATCAAACACTCCTAAGACAGATACTACATTTGATAAGGTACATAGAGAAGGTCCCACTTTGTGTGCCCATCAAACACTCCAAGACAAGTGAAACACGCGATTAGAAGGCAAGTAAATCTCTGACAACACCACATGCATTAAAATCTCAGAGAGTGGGTAAAGAACAGGGAAAAACAGAATAAATGATTCTCAATATTATCCATTAAAGATTTTCCAGATCAGGCAAAGCACGTGATTACAGAGTGAGGAATGTTTATTTGACATGAATACAACAGGTACAGGACAGCTTTGATGCATACTACATTTTACTGAATGCTGTCCGAGAAACACTCAAACGGCACAAACAACAAGAGGTTCAAACAACAGTGGAAAAGGAAACCAAGTCCCAGATTGCCCATGTAAACAGAGGCGGAGTCACACTGACTCAGACCGATGGACCACCTTTAAGAGACAGTAAACCAAGACTAACCTGTGCTGCAATCTGGGTTTAAATCAATTTCGATGCTATCTGAGCTGACAGCATTTGATGCAGTGCACTTGTAGAAGGAATGACCAACAGGAACAACCACTGACATCGCAACACTCAGCCTACTGCCACCATCTGAGATGTTGTGGTGTTTGTCATTGACCACCTCAACCCCATGGGACTGCCATTTGTAGGTGAGCTTTGTGCCTTCGGCTGTCTTACACTGGAGCTGGCAAGAAGCCTCATCTGCACCCATGCTGACGTGAATGCTAACATTGGATATGGTTTCTGAAAAATACAGAAAATGGGTTGAAGGTCAAGTCACATGAAATCAATTTCAGTAGGAGAGAGACTGAAAGACTCTATTTAATTTCAAACAGTCACTGGTGTCTCTTAGTTCTCTCCCTTCAAGGGAGGAATCTGTACACTGGTGTCTCTTGGTCTGTCTCTCTTTCCAGTTATAGTCCAACAGGTTACCAGCACCTCCATATCATGTCTCTCTCTCTCTCAGGGAGATATCTGTACACTGACTGGTGTCTCTCAGTCCCCTCTCTCTCAAGGAGATATCTGTACACTGACTGGTGTCTCTCAGTCCTCTCTCTCTCAGGGAGATATCTGTACACTGACTGGTGTCTCTCAGTCCCCTCTCTCTCAGGGAGATATTTGTACACTGACAGGTCTCTCTCAGTCCCTCTCTGTCAGGGAGATATCTGTACACTATCTGGTGTCTCTCAGTTCCCTGTCTCTCAAGGAGATATGTGTACACTGAATGGTGTCTCTGAGTCCCTTTTTCTCTCAGTGAGATATCTGTACACTGACAGGTGTCTCTCAATTCCTCTCTCTCAGGAAGATATCTGTACAGTGACTGCTGTCTCTCATTCCCTCTTTCTGTCTGGGAGATATCTGTACGCTGACTGCTGTTTCTCAGTCCCTCTCTCTCAGGGGAAGGTCTGTATACTTACCAGTATCTTTCAGTTCCTCTCTCTCAAGGACATAGCTGTAGACATATTGTGTTTCTCTCTCTCTCTCTCTGATTGAGATTGTTGTACACAAACTAATGTCTCTCAGTCCCTCTCTGAGAGAGAGATTGTTGCACACTGACTATGATCTCTCAATGCTTCTCTATCAACAACTATCTCCCTGAGATGGAGGGACTGAGTAGACACTAGTCAGTTTTCAGATATATTTGTTATTTAATTTTAAATTAGTTCTTTAATCAGGTAACTAAAAGCTGCTCTGTTTTGTTGTATTTACTTATAGTTATCTTTCTGAGTGACTCTCAGGTGAGGGTAGTTAACTAACAGTTGGTTTAATACAGATCAGGGGCCCTCTTGTGGTACAGTGGTAGTGTCCCTACCCCTAGACAGGGAGGCCTGGGTTCAAGTTTCACCTGCTGCAGAGATGTGGAATAATATCTCTGAACAGGTTGATTAGAAAGGTAAATTGTAAATTAAAAAAAAATTAATCCAGTTTAGAAGCATTGTTCTTGGGGCATACAATAAGGAGGCAATCTCAGTGCTACTTTGCTAGATGGGAGTGCTTTGGAGTTGTGTGAAAACAGAAAGCTAGGTGAGACGGGGAGTAGGTGAAACTGAAAGTGTGGTGCTCAGCTTCAGTCCGAGCAGTTCAGAAAGCAACATGGTCCCAATGGAAACAGCCAACTGATAAGTAATACCTGCAGGTTCTTTTCTTATAGTTTTTTAAAGGATATTAGCTTAAGTAATGATAGGGATTTCCGAAAATTGTTCGAAACAAAGAAGCTCCCTAGCTTAATTAAATTCTCTTAATCGGAGTAAGTAGCTTAATCCAGACAGAAGTCATGACAGGACACTGCAGAAGTGTGACGTGCTCCTCTTGTGCAATGTGAGAAATAAGGGACGATGTGTGCAGGAAATATGGCCAGCAGTAGCTAGTGTGGCCATCCAGTCACATGCAGTTGTCTATAAGGCCATGAAAATGTTTAATTCCAGGTTAAATTTGGAATAATTTCGCACAGGGAAAGGTCAGCATGTGAATGGGTGGAAGCAACGGGAGCTGCGGGGTCGGGGGTCGGATGTGACAGCTTGCATTTATCTACTTTAATGTAAAAAAGAATGTTGCTGAGGTGTGTCAATCAGACAGCATCTGATACCAAACTACATAAAGAGATAGCATGGATAGTTCAGCCAAGCTCAGATACAGCATGGGGTTAGATTCAGAGTAAAGCTCCTGCTGTACAGTCCATCTCACATTTGCAACGTCATTGCCCCGTGTTCCAATCTTAAGGGACCACAAGGAAAGTTGGTGAAGAAACCTTTCCTTTGCGCACTGAGCAGTGTTAATTCTGTATATGTCAAAACATTGTAAATAAATCTGGCTAACCATTTTAGCCCAATGGAGAGTGTACGAGGGCATGCCAGGAGCAGCACCAGGCATACCTGAAGATGAGGTATCAACTGGTGAAGCCACCAAATAGGACTACTTGCACGCCAAACAGCGAAAGCAGCAAGTGATAGACAGAGCAGAGCTGAGCGATCCCACAACCAACAGATCAGATCTAAGCTCTGCAGTCCTGCCACATCCAGTCGTGAATGGTGGTGGACAATTAAACAACTCACTGGAGGAGGAGGCTCCACAAATATCCCCATCTTCAATGATGGAAAAGCCCAGCACATCAGTGCAAAAGATAAGGCTGAAGCATTCGCATCAAACTTCAGCCAGAAGTGCTGAGTGGATGATCCATCTTGGCCTCCTCCAGTGGTCCCCAGCATTACAGATACCACTCTTCAGCCAATTCAATTCACTCCACGTGATATAAAGAAATGGTTGGAGACACTGGATACTGCAAAGGCTACAGGCCCTGACAACATTCCGGCAATAGTACGAAGACTTGTGCTCCAGAACTTGCTGCTCCCCTAGGCAAGCTGTTCCATTACAGTTACAACACAGGGATCTACCCGACAATGAGGAAAATTGCCCAAGTATGTCCTGTACACAAAAAGCAGGACAAATCCAACCCGAGATAACAAGGTGTAGAGCTGGATGAACACAGCAGGCCAAGCAGCATCATAGGAGCAGGAAGGCTGACGTTTCGGGCCTAGACCCTTCATCAGAAATGGGGGAGAGGGAGGGGGTTCTGAAATAAATAGGGAGAGAGGGGGAGGCGGATAGAAGATGGATAGAAGCGGAGGGCCTTCTGTATGGGGAATGCAGGTGTATAGGAAATGGACGTCCATGGTAAAGGTGAGGTGTTGGGGACCAGGGAATTGGAAGTTCTGGAGGAGGTGGAGGAGGAGGCAAAAAACTCTTCATCACCAACTGCCGTTGAGACATCAATCGCCTCAACCTCTCCAACCCTCTCACCCACTCCAACCTCTCTCCTGCAGAACGTGCAGCCCTCCGCTCCAATCCCAACCTCACCATAAAACCCGCGGACAAGGGGGGCACAGTTGTGGTATGGTGCACTGACCTCTACATCGCCGAGGCCAGACGCCAACTCTCTGACACCTCCTCCTACCGCCCCCCTGATCATGATCCCACCTCCGACCACCAAAACATCATCTCCCAAACCATCCACAACCTCATCACTTCAGGTGACCTCCCACCCACGGCCTCCAACCTCATCGTTCCCTAACCCCGCACTGCCCGCTTCTATCTCCTTCCCAAAATCCACAAACCTGACTGCCCTAGTTGTCCCATTGTCTCCGCCTGCTCCTGCCCCACCGAACTTATCTCCAACTATCTGGACTCCATTTTCTCCTCCTTGGTCCAGGAACTCCCTACCTATGTCCGTGACACCACCCATGCCCTCCACCTCCCCCAGAACTTCCAATTCCCCGGTCCCCAACACCTCATCTTTACCATGGACGTCCAGTCCCTATACACCTGCATTCCCCATACAGATGGCCTAAAGGCCCTCCGCTTCTTCCTGTCCCGCAGGCCCGACCAGTCCCCCTCCACTGACACCCTCATCCGCTTAGCCGAACTCGTCCTCACCCTCAACAACTTCTCTTTCAATTCCTCCCACTTCCTACAGACAAAGGGGGTGGCCATGGGTACCCGCATGGGCCCAAGCTACGCCTGCCTCTTTGTAGGTTACGTGGAACAATCCCTCTTCCGTACCTACAC